AAAGCATTTTGGACTCCGTGTAGGCCAGCAAAGCTGGGAAGGGGAACAAGGAGAGAAAAGATCAGCATTAGATGCTGAGAGGTGTATTAGATGGCTGTAGGTAAATTAACATGACTTGTCTTCTTTTGATAATTCACATTATTGAATTGAACCCTCTTCAGCGCTCCTCACAATACACCTTTAGATTCAGATAAGTATTTTCAGGAGCAGTATTCCCCTACTGCTCTACTCACGATTCACTTTTCAGAGGAGCATAGTTTTCCTCTGTCTTAATGCAGGATGAAACTTTCCCACTAGCATTGTCTTTTCTTGAAGCTGGCATGCTAGCAGACCTTGAAATGATCTGCAGAGACAGACATACAAAAGATATGACAGGCTGCTTTTGGCAGAAAGAAGCCTCCTTTGTTGTACTGTCATCCAAGGTCAGGCGTGCTCATGTAACTCCAGTTGCTTCTGTTAAAGTTGTTCAGTTAAATGAATGTCAGTTGTGGGTTTTTTTCCAAAACTGTTAAGTAGGAGGTTAAACCCATAAACTTGACTCTTTATTTTCCTTTGTGTGCTACTTCCTACAGATCTTGTTGCCAAATAAGCTAACAAAGTATCTAATTTGGAAAGTATCTGAAGGCTGCTTATGGCCTCATGTGGACTTTACTCAGTCCACCACTTAGTGGACTCTGCTTTGAAGAACAAAAAGCAGACAAGATGTACAACATAAGACACTTACTGGACAATAAAACCACAGGCTGAATTCCCTTAGCCCATAAATCGTTACTTAACTTGTTTAATTGCTTGGAAGAGAGCAGGTGCTATAATTTCATATTTTACTTAAAGAATTGAACCAGCTATTCTGAAAAATTTAAAAATACAATTTAAATGGATAGTTAATGACCTGTCTGTTCAGTGGGATAGTGAGATCTGCTCACTGCTAGTTTATCTGCTGTGTGTTTGTGGCATTTAACTGTAAACTGGAAGTAGTGCTAGCAATGAAATTCTGCTTCTTATTTCTTCCCTTAATGTGCTAGAATGATGTGTCATTCCACGTCATGGCTACCGGCACAGTCGTGGATCTGTGGAGTGAATCTCTGTAAAAGGCCTTGAATCACATGTAGTTTAAATCAACAGAGAATTTAATCCAAACTTTTAACAGATCTCACTGCTCTATTTTTTGTTATCTCCTTTAAAGAGGGAAAGCAAGGCAGTGATTTTGTTTCAGGCCCATTGTCTTTTTTGCATGGCTTTTTAGAAGATGTGCAGTCAGGGACTTAACTGACATGAAACAGTTTTTTGAAGTGAATTGGAGGTTCACATCTCCAAAAGATTTTTCTTAATCACCAGATAGATTCAGAAGTATATCTTTGAGTAGTCAAGAAAGTCCCAAAAGAGAACAGAGAAGACAGTACAAGCTATTCAGTAGTGCATTGGCAGTAGTGATACACTGTCAGAAAAGTGGTTTTGCTGGGTCCTTCTATCTTGTGACAAGGCTAAATCTTTAGCTGTTACTGATCTTGTCAGTAGCTCAGAAATCTATGGTTTTGTTGCAAAACCTGTCTCAGCCATTAGCACAGATTTTCTAGTGAAAGAGGTCACTGCTGTAATTTATTAGGCTAAGTGATCCAAGTGTCAATGAGGCTGATGTCTCAGATCGCAGAATGGTTCAAGGAAAATATCTTTTTTCTGCTCCAAAGTGTTTGAAACTCAGTGTGTTAAGAATTTAGGCTGTAGATCAGCATAACAGTCAGAGACTACTATGCAGAGAAACAATCCAACGGGAAGACTCTATTTATAAACAGTAGCACCTGGGCTGTTGTTCTGAAAAGGGAATTCACATCTCTGCAGCTGCTTTGCAAAAATAAATACATAATCTCCTTTCCTGCTCTCAGACAGAAACATCAATACAATTAATAGCCAGACAACTCAGGGGGTAGGTTTTCCTTTTATTCTTCAGGATGGCGAACTGGTCTTGCTAGATGGTGGCTGTGAGTCTTCCTGCTATGTAAGTGACATCACACGTACCTGGCCCGTCAACGGAAGGTATGCTGCAATAAAGCTGTTTTGAAGAACTTTGAGAAGCTCTTAAGTAATTGATGGATGGAGTGTATGTGTGTTCAGTCTCTATGTGAGTAGCTTTAACGTGCCCCATTCTGTGGTTCTTCAGAGTAATCAAATTATATAAACTAATCTTCCAGTGTGAGAAGCTGTATTCCCCACTGCCTCATTAATTACTGCATGAATATGTGTGATTATTGCTATTTTCATCTATTACAGCATGTTTAAAGTGCAGGGAGGGCTTTTGTGGATTCAGCCGTGGCTGACACTGGTTGTGTGTAAGAAAACAGGAGTTTAGCTGACCTGTGCATGACTCTATCAGTTGTGAATTTGCTGGTGTGATGTCCCTGTGGTTGCGTGTTTGATTCCTGTGTTTTGGTTCAAGTGCATTCTTTTCACTGCAGTAGCTTTGGCTTGCTTTGCTTTGGGGTTCGGTTGTCAGCCGAGAAAGTCTGCCTTTACCCAGTGTATTGAAGGGAATGCTCCACTGATGCCTCGTCTGACATTTCATATGAGGAGCCAGTTGTTTTAATTTCTGACATTCCCTGCCCTAGCATCAAACTGAATATACCCCATAATAACTTCTGGGTGGAGGTTTAATTGTTCATTTTCTCAATGATTTTCAGGTTCACCAAACCTCAAGCAGAACTATACCAGGCTGTTCTGGATATCCAGAAGTCCTGCCTGAGCCTCTGCTCCCCAGGCATGAGTCTAGAAAATATCTACAGCCTTATGCTGAGCCTTATTGGACAGAAACTGAAAGACTTGGGCGTCCTAAAGAGCGGCATCACTGAGAGCAACTTCTTCAAGGTACTTGAAGATTTTTTTACTCTTAATTTCCTTCTGATAGGCCTGATTGTTTTCTCCTTAGTTTATGTTATTGGCTTGGGAAAGTGCTTTTGAGATGTGTCTCCTAATTGTCACCACACACTGTGCTTTATTTCATGTCGTAGGCTGGTCTCAGCACAGGGTTGGATTTCTCTCAGGCAAGGCTAAATGTGGAAATATGTTTCAACCATTCTGCTCACAATTCAGTCTGAAGTAACCTCCCCCCTAGCCTTATATGCACATAGTGTGAATATTTGTTCCTGAGCACTTGCTATGTCACTCTGCAGATCCAATCCCATCTACACTGCTTGTTGGTGTAGATGCAGCTTTAGTGTACAGACAGTGTGAAGGGACCTATAGAGACAAAATTCTGGGTTCAGTGCTGGCTGCAGGCAGTTAGTCATAGGTTTGTGAACTGTTTAACACAACAGCAATCTGCAGTGCCACCAAATAGAGCCAAACCTGCAGAATAAAATAGGATTGGTTTGCAGTTAGAGAAGTTTATCTGGTCCCACTCTCTGCAAACCTGCATGATTGCTGATGCCAGTAGAAGAAAGACGGCAGAGCCAGGTGACTTCAGTACCTCTTTGCCAGCAGGACAGGTTCCTGCCAGGTTTAATTGTCCTACAGTGTCAATGCACTCACAGCCCAAGTTCTCTCTCCTGTGAAGAGAGTCTATCATGCCGCTTTCTCTCGGCAGGCGGCAGCACAGCCAGATGAGACGAGCCTCTGCAGCTCAGTCCCCAGCCCATGTGAGGGAAGTGGGGCACAGTTTTTTTCTGCTGTCAAGGAGCTCCTCTCTGGAGGGAGGGGGATTAGGATGTTGCAGGGGGGAGGCGGTGTCTGTGCCCTGTAGAGGCGGATTAAAATCCTGTTGTAGCTACCGAGTGAAATCGGCACGGCGTTCTCTCTTCTTGTCGGAGAGCTCTTTGCCACATCATATTGCAGCTGCATCAGCTGCTCATGGCTGTCAGGGTCTGCCGGTGGGAGCAACGAAGTGCTTGGGTATTTAGGGGATGGAAAGGGTTGGGGCAGCAAAGCTCAGCGAGCTGAAAACTGACTCGGTCTTGCCTGATGTACTGAGGTGAGGAGGGGCTTGGGCTGCTCTTTTCAGTGAGGGGAAAGGCAATTTGCAATATGCTCATAATAGGCACCTGCTACTGGTGGATTCTGAGGGCTATTTAGTTGTTGTAAATGGAAGACAGCCCCTGGTGACCTAGTCGTAGCAGTACAATTGCTAGTTTAGCACATAACTATTCTGTCTCTTCTCCTCATCTTTTGTATTGGAACAAGAGGTTGGAGTGTGTTTAACTGCCTCTAGGACACTTGTTCTGTCTTCTAGGCTGTTCGAAAGTACTGCCCACATCATGTGGGGCATTACCTGGGCATGGATGTTCATGATACTCCGGATATATCCCGGTCACTCCCGCTCCAGCCAGGCATGGTGATAACCATTGAACCAGGTAAAAAGATAGGCAGTCAGTAGTGGACAAAAATGTGCAACACTGAGGATCACAGTATTGTTTTCAGTACTTAGTTGGTCTCTTAGCCCACAGTATTCAGTTTGTTTCTGGTGAAATTGAAAATGATTAAGTTATTCCCCTCTCAAAGTCATTAAAGTATTAGAAGACCCTATTTCGCGCCCAAACAGACCCAAGGTAACAAATTGTGGGAATAAACTCTAACAAAGTGTCTGTGCAGCAGGAAACAGAGTGTTGTAGACCTCAGACTGTTGGTGTTTGGCCCACAGCAGTACAGGTCAGTCGCTGCAGAAAAGCAGGGTCAGTTCCCTTGTGCTCTGTTCTGACTTACTGTGACTAAACTGCTACCAGTCTCTGGTAGTCTTCAAGCATTGCAGTCTGCAATTACAGGCATTCACAACCCAGCTTTGCAAATTAGGCATTTTGCGATTAATCTTTCTTTCTACTTGTCATTAGATTTAGAGCTGTCAGCTGGAAACTGATATTTAATGCTTGGCTCCTCTCTCTCTATTCAGAACATTGTTAAAATCATCATTACAAACATAGCATTGAGAGCAAGAAGTGCAGAAAGGCCAGCTATAATTGTCTGTAGGCACTGAGGGACCCTTTTTTTCTTTGCCTACCAACTGCCATGAGTGAGGGGAAAGAGAGTGACTTTCCGTATTAAAAATTTTTGAGGATCAAATTCATGTTATGTTGCTGAAAATCCAATCCTGCTCTCATGGTGGTGCAGTAAGGGGAAGGTGTTTTTCTCGAAAATATTGTGTGTTTTAATTCCCTTTCTTCTTTCAGGTATTTATATCCCTGAGGATGACATGAGTGCCCCGGAGAGGTTTCGTGGCATTGGTGTGCGCATTGAGGATGATGTTGTGATAACAGAGGATGCGCCTCTCATCTTGTCTGCTGACTGTCCCAAGGAGATCTACGACATCGAGCAGATCTGTGGCCGCAGCTCATGATGCCCCTTCTCTGCCTCTTTCATCCTCCTTGGGAGACGCAGCCCTCCAGGGATGTGGATCCCTGCAGCTGGCTGTACTTGACAAGTGATGGACAACAGTTGCTGGACAGTTGGTGGTGGCTGTTTCCAAGACTGTGGTTGGGGAGTGGATTGCAAGAGGCTTGGGTTTTGAGGAATGAAAAAAAACCAAACAAACTTTTTCCGTGTGCATTTTCCTTCTGATTTGATTAGTGCTGATGTTGAGCTGTTGTAGGACTGTATGCTGTATGGCTCCACCTGTTCTGGTGCCCTTGGAGGGATGAATTTTCTCAGCGGCTTCTGCCTGGTCCCTCTCCAGGCACACAGGTGCAACTGCTGAAGTCAGGGCCCCATTTTTTCCCCTTTAGCAGTAGTTTCACAACAGTTAGATTTAAAAACAAAGCTTTGAGAAATGCTGTTTTGCAGGAATAGTGTGTGTCAGACAGCTCTAATTTTTATAGAGTACTGGAAGGAGGGGCTTTGGTAGTCAGGAAGATGGGTTTGGTTGGGAGGTAGTCTTATCTGCACCCTGTGGAGAACGATTCCAGGATGAGAATGTTTGGGCCTTGTTCAGGCATATGCAAAATAGACCAGCAACATGGAAAAACATCTCACCTGGACTTTCCACTTATTGGAGCCTTTGATAATTTCAGAAAGGACAGATAGGGCTGAGGAGGTTGAACATACCCGTACTTGGTGTCTTCTACATTCCCTTCTTTTTGTCCCAAATGCCCATTCCAGTCTTCTGTTCTGAGCCTGTCAGCCTTGTTTTGTCTTCCGCTAGGCTTTTCAAAAGTACTGCCCACATCATGTGGGCCATTACCTGGGCATGGATGTTCATGATACTCCGGATACATCTCAATCACTCCCGCTCCACCCTGGGAAGCAGGGCCATGTTGGCTGTGCTGGACTCCACTGCTGAGCTGCTGGTTATCACCTAGATGTGAGGTGTCCGATTCTGGGACAGTAATGGCACCTTTCTGTGGGTTACAAACAGGAGACCAGACTAGGCAGCTAGGGTTGTTATGTACTCGTTCAATCACTCTCTTATCACACAGGGAGAACAGACTTTCCCAGGTCTGTTTTGATCATACTCTCCCGTTCACTCCCAGGCACCTCTTGTGTACAAGAAACGTCTTATCTGTTCATTCTCACGGACAAACTCCCAATATGAGCGATATTCAGCTGGTCAGGGTCTCTTTTCATAATTAGCAAGCAAGAGTTACGTACTTGTTTAGAAAAGAGCTCAAGGACGAAAGTCTTAATTCTGCAATGCAGTGCTGCCAGCACAGCTAACTGTAAAATGTAGGGTATCCACACCTTTCTGGTCTGTGCTGTAACTGGCAGCACCTCCCAGCAGTGTATTTTTGCGAGTCTGCCCCATTGCAAGTCTCAAGTCTTTATATGGCTTTAATACAGAATGTAAAGTAATTCTCCTTTTCAAAACACTGAAGGAGTGATCACAGCTGCCTTCTGAGTTTTGCCAAGTGCAGTCAGTAACTAATGCTCTGTGGTAATATTTTTGAGGCAGCTTCAAGTGTGATTAGAGGCTCAGATGGATGAGAAGTAAAGAGAAGAGTTGTCTTCTCTCAACATCAGCCTGCCACCCAGGCCATTGTATGTAGCAGTAAATACACTTGCTAGAGGCAAACATGGTGTCTGTGTATTTACTGAAAATATTTTGACAATCAGCTATTTAATGTGTCTGAAAAATGCCTCTTATCGGTGCATCTCCTTTGATTTCTGCTTGCTGTTGCATCACGTCATCTTCCTTTCTGATGGTATCTTTCATTATTTTTTGTCTGTTACTCTGAGTTTTCTTTCTTTGTCTCTTCACTTCCTATATTGCCTGGTTTTGATCCACTATAATGTCACTGCTTCCTAATCCATTCTGCTTTCTAATCAATCTCACTGCCTCTTCCCTGGTTTGCCCTAATTCCCCACAGTGGATGTAAGCAGAATCATGTAGGGGATAGTCAGGGTTCCTGAGTTCAACCTCTGGCTCTGGTCCTGTGTAACCTTTAGTGAAGTCCTCTCCTCTCCTCTCCTCTCCTCTCC